TATCACTTTCATATTCTTAGTTTCATATTCTTTCATATTCTTTCTTTCATAGTCTTCTGATAAACAATTTGACAAATGTATAAGCATATCTGTTTAGTCTTACAATTGTATACCCAATTGATGTAGTAATCGAATAAAATAAGGTACAAAACTAGCAAATAAAATGTCTGGAAATACCTCAAATGTTCGATCAATTTAAAAATATTATCAAGTCTGGAAAAGGCAAATGTATGTTTTCTGTTAAAAATTCTAGTCTATGGATATTTTTAACTGATTTACAATAAAAAAAAAAAAAAGACGTCGTAGGATAAAAGGGAATATTGTAGCCACTCTTTGAAATAATTTAATATATACCGTAAACCATCGCTGACGAACAATCCAAGTCTAAGTCATGTTCAGTCGATAATTTTGCTTTCACAACAATGATTTGGTTAAGCAATATACTATATTAAGGAACATATTTTGTTCTTTACATATACTTTTCTAAAAGAATTACCGTTTAAAATAAGTTTTTTTTTAATTTGATTCATTTGCCTAGGACTCGTATTATGTTTAATAACTACTACAAATTTAATTTAAAAAATACAATAAAAGTTATTGTTTTGTANCTATATTAAGGAACATATTTGGTTTTTTACATACACATTTCCAAAAGAAATACCGTTTAAAAAAAGTTTTTTTTTAATTTGATTCATTTGCCTAGGACTCGTATTAAGTATAATAAATACAGCATATTTAATTTAAAAAATACAATAAAAGTTATTGTCTTGTATTAATTTTGGATTTAAGGTTTTCAATATTACAAACAAATAACTAAACTCTCACAGTATCATTATAGGTGGTAAGATGAGTAAATAATGTCTCATGAAATCAATACAACAAATAAACTGTAATTAAAAACTATTTAATTTTATCACTTTTGATAAATATATTACACAGATATTGTACAGACAAAAGTTGATTTTTAATGTCCTTTAATCTAACGGGGAGGGTGACCAGGAGTACCTGGATTGTAATGTGCATTAGAAATAGTGCCAGGGCCCTCGAAATACGGATCATCAGGGAGATGAGATTTCGGTGGAGGGGTAAACGGACCTTCACCTATACCTTGTACTGACACCGGCATAAAAGAATAAATAATAACACACGAAACGATAAATTTTAATAGCATATTTGCAATAAATCCGAAATAGATACGCGAATAATACGATACTCTTAGGAGACACAATTTTAATTTTATGCTTTGATTTTAATATATCTCAGTTAAACGCTACGGTCTTAACAATTTATATTTCCTAAATAGGTATGATTCCAGTGGACAGTAATAATTGCTACACGTTACGTTATAGTAGTAGTCGACGGATTATCCAAATGTTCTTGCTTGAG